ACACACATGTATACATACATACACACATACACACATGTATACATACACACATGTATACATACATGCACACATACATACATATACACACACATACATACACACATGTATACATACATACACACATACGTACACACATGTATACATACATACACACATACATACACACATGTATACATACATACATAGACACATACACACATGTATACATACATATGTACATACACACATGTATACATACATATACACATACACACATGTATACACACATACATACACACATGTATACATACACACACACATGTACACATACACACATCACCATTATCATCATCTTCACTCTTATATCTCTGATCCCAACTTCCCACAGACCTCAGAGAAAATCTTCCAAAAAAGGCAGTGATCAAATCACTGGGAAGCCAGAGGAGCTGAGTCTTTCCAGAGCAAGACAGAGGCTGATGGAGGGAACCAGGAGGGGGAGACCAGGGATCTGAGGGAGAAGAGCAAGCCACCCAGGATCTTCAGGCTCAGTGAGGGGAGCGAATGCTTCTGAGGGGCCCTCCTAGCTCCACTTTCTAACCTCAGTCTTTATAAGAAAGAGTAGAATGCCCAGATGTGCCGATAGTCCTTATGCTTCCTATAAATTTCCTTAAAATAAATAAATAAATAAATAAACACTGAAAAAAAAGACCAGGCTGTCTCCCTCCCTTTACGATCAATGACGTTAGAGGTCAGAAACCTAACAGGCTTGCTCAATGGCCCAGCTCTTCCTGAGAGCTTCCAGCTCTGGAAAGATACCAAAGATACCAAGGCAACATCTTCAACACCCTTGGCCACAGTCCCACCCCAAGCCCAGATGGAAGAAATGATTATCTCCAAGTCACTGAGAGAGAAAACTAGAAAGGGGAGGTGATGTTAATGTTCCCATCAAAACCCGGATGTTAGAAGAAGAGTCAAGCCCCATCCCCTGGGAGGAAGGTGATCACCCACGTAGGTGGGAGGCTCCAGGCTCCCAAGCTCTGTGAGTTAGTGGATTACCTCTCCTTCCTGGGAGAGTGACACGACACACACACACAATTAGGAGCAGCCCCCCTTAATCGTGTTTAGGGAAAGTACAGCATGAATAACCGTCACTGCGATATCTGTCTCACAGGGTTGGGCAGGGGCTAAAATAAGACTGTGAGATGATTTCAAAACACAAAGTCTCAGTATGAGTCAAAGACACTCAAATCCTCTGGGGGTCCAGTGTAAATAAAAGTAGCAGCAGCCACTTTCCTACAGTCCCCATTATAACTGTCACTGCTACTGCACGCTCTTCTCCTTGGAGGAAGCCCTGGGAGGGGACTTACATGGTGCTAGGCTTTATTACAGGGCTAGCTCCCTAGATTCATGCTTTGTTGGCTATGAGGATGAGGGGAATATTCCTTTTCTTTCTTTTTTTTTAAAAGGCTGAGTCTCAGCATGCAGTCCTGGCTGCCCTAGAACTCCCTATGCAGCCAGGCTGACCTCAAACTCAGACACCTACCTGTTTTTGCCTCACCACTGCTGATATTAAAGCTATGCTGTGTGCCACCACATCCAGCCACCTTCTTTTTGATAGAAGGTCTCTCTGTGGATCTGAAGCTCATTATTTTGGGTAGGACATCTGGCCAGCAAGCTCCTGGGATCTCCTTGTCTCTGCTCCCGAACATTCCAGTCGGAAGCACAGGGGCCATGTCCAGATTTATGTGGGTGCTGGGGATTTGAACTCAAGTCCTCTCACTTGCACAGCAAGTGCTCTTATCCACTGAGCCATCATCTCCCTAGTCCAGCCTTGAACTTATACCTCCTCCTTGATTCTCCTACCTCTACCTCCTGAGGACCAAGACTGCAGGCATGTTGCCACCATGCTCAGTTTATGAGATACTGGACTGAACTCAGGGTTTCATGCATGAAATGCAAGCATTCTATCAACTGAGCTACACCGCCAGACCCTACTATACATTTTTATTCCTTTTTTTTTTAACAATAACAAGTTTGAGGCCAAACTCAAGGTGAACATCTATGCTCCAGGTAAAAAATACGTATAAATAGGAATGATCAAGAGGCCCTGATAACTACACACACACACACACACACACACACACATAGTGTAATTGGTGTCTTGAGCTTTTCCCTGGCAGATACAGATCAGGAAGTAAGTCCCCACTGGAGCCTTCTACTTGCTAATCCCAAACCCGTTCTTCCTCTTTCATTCCTGGATGTCAAGTTTGTCAGCTGGCCTACCTTCCAACCTGGCTCCAGTATCCTGAGTATCAATTCCTAGCATTTCTTCCTGTCTCAGGGTTGCCAACTTTAGGAGATATGCAGTGCTTACCAAGATGAAAATTATCTGCTATCTGATCCAACCCGAATTGAGTGTTCTGTATTTATCTGGCAACCCCAATTGTACCTCCACCCACCCTGCCCAGTCCCAGCCTCCACCAGTAGCAATGTTGTCCCCCTTGTTCCCATAACAACCTGTTCTGATGCAACAGGCCCAGGGTCCATCCTGAGAGCCTTTATATTTAACAAGCACTCCCAACTTGTTAAATTACCTTATGATTTCGGAAAGTTCTAGACTCCAGTATGATACCACCTGAGCCAAAAATATAGGTTCTAGCTCTGTGTGAAGCTGGTGTCTCTGCTAGCTGTGCCAACCCGAGTCTGTGTTATCTAACCACGTCTCTGTCTTTCCAAGAACACACCCTATGTGGATGGGCCTAAGACACCCCACTCACACACTTGGCTCTGTTTTCCTCTTACCCAGCCAAGACCTTGCTATACACACCCAAGAGCTGCTGTCCTTTAAGGACCACAAGCTGAGCCCAACCAGTTGTTTTCAGAGGCACTGCCAGTATCAGCACCACTTGAAGCAGTCAAAACAGGGGAAGCAGAGAGCTGAGCAATGCTCCCAGCCCCACCTTTGGTTATTTAAAGTCAAGATCCAAACACTCTCAAGAGTTAACCTTGCCCTGTGCAAGGGAAGTCCAGCTCCCTCAGGAAAAAGATAACAGCCATGTTCTTGTAACAGCCCAGGGTTCCTCCCTGCTTTACACATTCTGCCCCACGTCAGACTCCCCAACCACGCCCCTCCTCCCTCTCACTTAGTGATGGTAGATGTTGGCATTCACTTTATTTCATTCTGAAGGGACTATTTCATTGGGCTTTCTACCTCCCTTCTTTGGTCTCCTTTAGTCCTAGTTGCTACCCATTTCCTGACTCCACCCAATCAACAAGCTGATCCTTCCCTTTCCTCTGGCCCCTCAGTCTGCCCCAGAGGGCAAAGATTCACCATAGTGATCGGTAAATATTCCTCATTTGCATCCAGTCACATGGAATCTGTTCACATGGCCTAAGCAGTGTCTTTGGCTGGTCAGAACTCAGCTCTGGTTTGTCCCTATAAGATCCAGATGGGGGGAATGAGGGAAGATTATGCTTGATTAGCAGTGGCCCCTCAGGGAGCTCCCCTCTGCCCCCCTTTGCTCCAGCCGGCCAACATCAGGCCATCCAATCCAAATGTGACACCCTCTGCATCCCACTCCTTCTTCTGGAATTGTTGCAGAATTACAACTTCCTCAGAAAGGAAGCTTAGCAAAACCGTGATGGTGGCCGAAGGCAGGAGGATATGACAAACCAGAAGGAAGACAGCCACGTCACACTTGAGCCTCCAGGGCAGCCCTGAGGGGAGGGGCACCTGTGGGGGTGGAGAAGAATGGGCTCGCCCTCCCCCAAGCCCCAGAGAATGTTTCATTCGCTAAATGAGATCAATCTGGCCCAGATGTTAGGCAGCTGCCCCTAGAAGCAGTCCCCACACTGAGCAGCAGAGGCCAAGGCTGTGAATGGAGCTGGCCTTGCAAGCTCTGGGAGCCCTCCTCTAGGGGGTAAACACAGCCTTCAGCTCCCTTCCTCTCTGGTCTGCCGAGGAGGTTGCCTTTTTAGGAAACCCAGAGGTTCCAGAAGAGAAGCAGACAAAGATCAGGAAATAGCCGGGGTGGTTAAGGAGTTGTATAGGGCAGAGGCTGTAGCTCTAGCGACTGAACCAAGGCTGAGGAGCAGCAGCGGCTCAGGTAACCACCTGCTGGGGGTGCTGACTCACTCCCACTGTAACTGCTGGGAACCTTTCCAGTGGGCATCCCCTACCTCCACATCAGCTCTTGCCAGCTCCAAATTCCCAGCCTGGCCACAAACATAGCCATTCCCTCAGACACACTCATTCCCTAGGGACTTAGACACAACAAACCCTCTGCCTAGACACAGCTAACCCTTTCCCGTCATCGTCTGATCCTCGTCAATGAGTTGTGCTCCTTCATCCATTGATACTTTAGAGAAGGAAGGGAAGAAAAAAGGATCTCTAAGAAAGTGTATACAAGCCGGGCAGTGGTGGTGCACACCTTTAATCCCAGCACTTGGGAGGTAGAGAAAGGTGGATTTCTGAGTTCGAAGCCATCCTAGTCTACAGAGTGAGTTCCAGGACAGCCAGGACTACACAGAGAAACTCTTTCTCGAAAAACCAAAAAAAAAAAAGAAAGAAAGAAAGAAAGAAAGAAAGAAAGAAAGAAAGAAAAAGTATATACAAACACACACACAAACATACACACACACACACAAACAAACACACATACAAACACACACAAACACACATGAAAGATTCCTCTTCTGGATTTTTTTGTTTTTGTTTTGTTTTGTTTGGGGGGGAGGGGGGACTGACATCCCTCTATACCCCTAGCACCTCACTCATTTTGAGAGTAAAGCCCTTCTTCCATGAGATGTTCCAGCCCAAAGCAAGCAAAGGCTGGGGAAGGGTAGCAATAGTCACAGCAAGGAAGATGCCCAAGCAAACTGGCTGGAGCAGAAGTGCAGAACAGGCTCCAGGGCTCGTTGCCAGCTTTCCACCATGCATCCTAGGGAAGGCTTCACCTAGTTTTGCTCAGAATGGGATGGAGACAGCATTTAGGAGGAAATAGTTTTGTGTGTCTACACCTATACAGACACACCTTAAATCTAGGGAAACACAGTGTCTGGGGCAAGTTGGGGTGGGGGTGGGGAGCCACACCTGTGTTGAACATTCTACGAGGTCAAATGAATGCTACAGGTTGGGTGCCAAATAATTTGGGGCTATGTTATCCCCGTAAATAGCTATTGATTTCACACCTCTGGGTTTGACTTAACATTCTTTTTTTTTTTTTTTTTTTTTTTTTTTTTTTATTTTGGGTTTTTTGGTTTTTTTTCAAGACAGGGTTTCTCTGTGTAGCCCTGGCTGTCCTGGAACTCACTCTGTAGACCAGGCTGGCCTTGAACTCAGAAATCCGCCTGCCTCTGCCTCCCAAGTGCTGGGATTAAAGGCGTGTGCCACCACTGCCTGGCTTGACTTAACATTCTTAAGATTACTAAATAAACTCCTTCCTAAAATTTGCAGCCTCCTAGCTTCCACTAGCCCTGTTATGAGGTAGCATCAGACGCTTGTAGCAGAGATTTCCTCGCTTTGCTGTAAGCACCTCACCTGATGGTTCACCAATATATGTCTAAAATACCTTGCTCTATTACCTCCCTTGTTCTGTTACTATAAAACGTTCATTGTAGTGGTTATCATGTTGGAACACAGAAACTGAAGCAACCTGAATCTGTGTTCTTTAGCCATAGTCACTCACATTTGGCTCCAGCATAAACTTCCTCATATTCCTTTTGAGGTGAGAGTCGTGTTTTTGCATTGACAAATAAGGCAAAGGCTCCTTACCTCATCCGAGCACCAGGCACACACAGGACTCACAGCCAGACATTGCTGGCAGGAGTTCACGCCTCGTGTGGTACAGATGTTGGACTCTGCAACAGAGAGGCATAGGCATTAGCACCTAACTTGCTCGGAGCAGTGACCATCCTGCCCTGACTACGCCAAATCCTTCCCAAACACTCTGGTGAGCATTTCATCGGTGCACACAAACATACCCTAACCCTACCCATTAGACATTTACCAAACATGGGCTATTACACAAGGTAGAAAACAACAAAGATGGGGAGAAACTTAGTCCTTTATCAAAGGATAAGCCACAGCAGCAGCAGCTGATGGGACTGAGTGACAGATCCAAGTGTCCCACCATAACTGATAGGAAGGCTTTAACCAGACTGGTTTCATACCTGTACTGGGCAAATGAAAAGCCAAGGCCCAGTGTAATGGGCCATGTGCCTTCTCCAATTGTCTAACTGAAGTCATAGCCACTACACAGAGGACCTAGGGCTCAGATGCAGTAAGATTGACACCTAAATACTGTGGGACTTTAATGAAAGCAGGGTAACCTTAATGACCATGTCCCACTATCTGAACTCGTGTTAAGTTTTCCAATTCTTTGGGACCAATCATTGAATACACAAAAGAACTAGAGTACTGTTTCTCAACCTGTGGATCATGGTCCCTTAGGGCTCCACATAGCAGATATCCTACATATCAGATATTTACTGTTACAATGTATATATATACATATATATGTATGTGTATATATATATATATATATATCATAGCATTTACATAACAGTCATATGATTGTTACTGTTGGATTCATCACAGTAGCAGAGTTTGTTATGAAGTAGCAACAAAGTAATTTTGTGGCTGGGGGAGTCACCACAGAATGAGGAAGTGTATTAAAGGGTGGCAGTCTTAGGAAGGTTGAGAGCGGCTGAACTAGAAATCAGGAAAGGCTAATGGAGTCTAGAAGAATGTGGCACTTCTGAGGCACTCTGAAGCAAGGCCTGTGCTCTGTGCTGTGCCCTTGAGCAACTCACCTCCTCTCTATAAAATGACTGACCTATCTCTCAGGACTTTTGCAAGAATTCAATAAGCCAAGAGGGTGCTTCAAGATGCCGCTCAACAGGGAAGAGTCCTGGAGTTGACAAACAGCAGGGAGAAGACTCCAGGGAGCAACAAAGACAGCCAAGAGGATCAAAACAGCACCGAGAAGTGCAGCCAGGAAGTGAACCCCAGGCAGCTCTGTGGAAGCCTCTCCCTGGGTTTGGTGTCCCTGGCCTCAGACAAATAAATCCTCTCTGCCTATTGTGCCTCAGGGAAGTCTTTATCACCCAGGAGCAGGAAGATCTATTCCTCCTCATGTAGCTTGACAGTTCTTGGAATGACTTTCTGAAGGGTTTCCTTTGCCCATAATTCTTATTTCTTGGCTTTGCCTCCAGCAAATCTATTTCCAAATAAATAAATTATCCTAGTTACTGAGGTGTTTTCTCGATATTTCCAGAACGTCTCATCTAGTCAAACATCTATTTTATTTTGACTGAATTCTAGCTATCTCAACAGCTGTGCAGGACAGGACACACTCAGAAAATGCCCTGCCATGGTCAGAGACTATCTGCATCTGTGTCTTGAACTGATTGGGATGGTTTACAACTTTGTACAAGTTAGAAATTAACACAGAAAATTGATGATGATGTAAATTTATTTTTATGAGAAAAACACATACGATTCTCATTCAACAAAAATGTCAACAATGTCAACCTGGTAGAGAACATAAGTCCCAAAGGTTAAAGCTTATTGTTTTACAGGCATTGGCCAATTTTTAAGAATCTATTAGCCAATTCATTTCCATATGACTGACCAACTATAAAACTCCCTTCCTTGAATTCCCCTTTGAAGTAGTTCTAACACCTTACCGGTTCCCATGATGTTTAAACTGATTAAAATCTTTGATAAGTGTTCTTTTTGTATGTTTGTATGAACATAGTATCTTTTTACTCTTTTAAAAATTACATTTTAAGAAGCTGAGAAAATAGCTCAGTAGTACAATGAATGTTTAGCATGCATGTGGACCTGGGTTTCCTTCTCCGCGTGGCAATAAAATAAGGAAAGGAAGAAGAAATGAGAGGGAGAGAGGAGGGGAAAGACAAGGAAAGATCAGTTGGGCTCTTGGGACCTTCTTGCCTAAACCAGAACACAGTCGAAGTGGCACCAACTGAAAAGTTTATGGCTAAATAGTTTTATTTTGCTGCAAGTGAACTAATTTCTAAACAGTATACACAGAGTTCTAGAATAAAGTCTGTAGACCAGGCTTGGTGGTGCACACCTATAACTCCAACAGTCAGGTGACTACAGCAAGGGTACTGTCATGAGTTGGAGCTATCCTGGACCACATTGCAAGCAGCAAGATTCTATTTCAATATCTAGATATACATTTAGATCTATAGATACATAAACACACACATATTATATGTAAATGGAACCTCAGATAAGATATGATATCATCCACCTCCTCAAAACACTGGATTGTCTATGGAATCCTTGAAGCACGGTTTAGAAGCTCCAGAGTTCCTCAGAGGCTGGGCTCTGTTCTGAGATGCCACCACAGGCTCATGAGTAACTAGTGGCTCTATTCTCAGATGTGAATAAAACAGGTGTGTGTGTGTGTGTGTGTGTGTGTGAGAGAGAGAGAGAGAGAGAGAGAGAGAGAGAGAGAGAGAGAAAGAGAGAGAGAGAGAGAGGCTCAGTGTGTAGATGTGAGTGTGTGTGTGTGTGTGTATATGTGTGGATGTGTGTGGATGTGTGTGTGAGAGAACCACAGAGAGAGACAGAGAGAAAGTGGGGGGGTGTGAAAATATGCATGAGTCTAAGAGTGTGAGAGACAGACAGAGTGTGTGTGTGAGTCTGAGTGTGAGTATGTGTGTGAGTCTGAGTGTGCAAATCACAAAATGGCAATTGTGTCACTGGCTTCAGGCCTGGCTCCATCCCATATGAGTGGGGCAACACTCAGCAACACAAGGTCTACTGGAGGAAGCGTAACTGATATTTCCACAGATACCATGTTCTGAGCCCACAAAACCAGCATTGTCACCCAAGGCTTCTCCCTGCAAGGGCAGTCTGGCCAGACCTCAGCCTCACACCCGTTCCCCTGGGGCTAGATAGAGCCCTCTTCATTACAGCTGGATTAGAAGAGTTCTGAGAGAACCCAGCCTGGGATATTTCAGTAACTCCCCTCTTTGGGGAGTTTCCATGGAGACTGGCAACAAAGAGTGATCCTGGACATGAACACCATGAATGCTCACTAGAAAGAGGAAACCCAAGGGGAGATGGTTACAATGGAAAGCGGCATGGGTCCAGTCGAGTTCTTTTTTTACTACATTTATTGGTTTTGTTTGAGAGAGAAAGAGAAAGAATGAATGGGCACATGTGCCATAGTACATGTGTGGAGACAGAGGACACCCTGAGAGTCGGTTCCCTCCTTCCACTGTGGAGGTCTGAGAATCAAACGCAGCCTGTCAGGCTTGGTGGACTTTAATGTCCTGAGCCATTTCTACAGCCCAGCCCACATTATTGTTCAAAACCCTTCCCAGTCTATTCCGTTTACCCATTCATCCATTCACTCACTCTCAAATTAGCACTCCCTAGGAGCTCTTGACTTACAGGCACAACAGAAAGCCTTGCCAAATGTGAAATAAGAGAGAGCAGGCCCCTCCCAGGGTACCAGCAGCCAGTGACCTCAGAGGGTGGGCTGAGCTGCTCCTTTAGGAAGTCCCTCACCCTGTTCTTTTGATGATGTATTTTTAATGAATCCCAGGTTGATAGTGGAAGAACCAATGATTCCTCTAACAACCCCTCCAACCGAGTCCTTCGACAGAGGGCAGGAGCCCTGGAACTCAGTGGTTGAAAGTGGCTGACTCATCAGAGGTCTCTGAGCTGGGCCCAAGCTGATTCAAAGGCCTGCTACTCCCAGGCTGTCCCTCCCTTCTGGGACCTCCTCCCACCCTCCATTTCCAGTCATTCACAAAGCCTGGATTCCTTCTCAGCCTCTGTAGTCCAGAAGGGCTTACTGGGGAAGTGGGAGTCCTCACCAGAACGTCAGAGAAAACAATGGATGGCTCCCAAAATCCTGTGTGAGAGAAGCCGAGCAAGGTTGACTGGGACTGCGCTGGTTGTAAGGCTTAAATGAACACTCATGAACGCGACAGCTGGCAGACATAAAGTGCTCAATGAGTGTGGGGCCGGGGTTGGTTTTGTTGTTGCCTTTTTTATCTTTAGCTTCAAGCTATTTAGAGCAGACAAACTTTTTCATTTTTTTTTCAATTCCTTAAAGTCATTGTATAGGGCACGTGTCCCGAAGCTAATTCAGTCCTGAAGAGAAGGTTAGAGATGGGCCCGAAAGTACCAAGACGAGGTGAAAATCTAAACAGAACAAAGAGTGTGCATTCAAAATCCCAATCTAGGAACGATAGCTGAGAGAAGATGTTCCCTGGGAAAGACAGGCAGGGCCAGCCAAGAAGTTTGCCTGGAAAGTGGAAATACGAGCCTGTGGTTTGGCCTTTCAGCCTGGTTCACAGGACCAGAAATGAGATAAAGGGTGGGGGAAAAAAAAACAGAGGCGAAAAGGAAACAAGTTGGAACCAGGGGAAGTCATAATGCATCAGTGGGGCTGTGACAAGGACATGATGTCCAGGGACACAGCATGTCAGAATGTAGGGGCAGTACACCCTGACGAGGCCAAGGACCTTCAGGACTTAGTTGGGGTGAGAATGGAGGACAGTCCACACTAATGACCGCCATGCAGATCTCTCTTGCTGCCTGCCAGAAAAAATCCTGGCCCAGAGCCTCAGCCCTGCCCCTGAGCTTTAGCCACGTCCCACTTAGGTCCATGGGGTCACTGGGTGACCCAGGTGGTGCCTGATCTTCCCTTGCAGTCTCTTGGGTGGCTGAATCAGCAAACAGAATAGCTCCTGCTAACGGCCCCATGCATGCATGCATGCATGGCTTATCAAGAATAAGTTGCAAGGAACGCTTTTTGGTTTTTATTTCACCCTTAAGGCTAGCTCAGTACCTGAAGGAAGCAAGAGAG